ATCTCCTTATTTTGCTTAGAAGGAAACTAAAGCCCATGGGGGGAAAGTGACTTTAGTTTACTTTGACAAATATCCATTCGGTACCTACTATATAGAATGAGCTGGGGATACAAAAACAAAAATGAAATTGTCCCTGCCCTCATGGTGTTTCTGTTTTACTGGACTTGCATAGATTATAGAAGTACTAAATTGCAAAGTTGGGATCAGAACCCAAGTCAGAACTATGGACTCTCACTCAGAATTGGACAATACTAAACACATCTACAACATCATAGAGCAAATGCATCATTTACCAAATAACATTCTGTGATGTGTGAGGGGAAAGATTTAATCAGACCAAAGATTTCCTGGAGAAGGTAGCATTTTAGTTGGGCATTGAAGAATGGACAGAAGTTGTCACAGAGATAGGAAGGAAATGTTTTCTTGACCTAGGGAGCAGTAGGAGCAAAAGTGCAGAGGTATGTGTGAGAATCTATGGAGAGAGGGTAGGAAAAGTAATCTAGTTTAACTAGGACACAAAGTTTATGGCAAGGAATTATATGAGATAGGGCTAGAAAGGTGGCATGGTACTAGATTGTAGGGAAGGCCTTGAATATCAGTCAGATGTGTTTGAACTTCACGGGAGTAAATTCAAACTTGAGAGTTTTAAGGAGAATGGTGGCATAACTCTATCTATGTGAAAGAGAATGTTCTGGCATTTGTATGAAGGATGGAGTAGAGGGAGGAGAGAACAGTAGCTGTTGAAGGAGTTTATTATAGAGTATAGGAAAGTGGGATAGAGCAACTCTATTAGGCTGGTGTCGTGGAGAATTGAGAAGGGTGTGCTTTAGTGGGAGTAGAATTCCCTGGTAATGGATCTTAATAATTGGCTCTGAAAGATCAGAGAGCCTTGAAATAAGATTTAAAGATTACGGTTAGGTCATAAATGATATTGCTTTCCATATAACTGCCTTATGCAATGGGCAGTGCAACCATTATTAGCCTCTTAAGGTAAGGCCACAGAAGTATGTGACTTTCCTGTGGTCAGATAACCAGTGAATGTCAGATCTACAAACCTGGATCTCCCATTAAGCCAGAGCTCTTTCTTCCATGCATTCTGTGATCAAAAAGGGGAAACTTTGTATGAAACACAGTTAACTGCTAACCAAAGTAACATCAAATATACAAAAGTAAATAATGAATCCTAGATCCCTAACGTAGCTTTAGAATTGAAGAGACTTTGGAGTTCATATCGCCCAGACCCTACTTGAGTCATGAAGGCCATCTAAAATAACCTCTACACGTAGTTATCCAACTTCTGCTTGAAGACCTCTGTTGAAAGGCAACTCATGATTCCCAAAGAAGCATTTGACTTTAGGACAACTCATTATTAAGAAGCTTTCCCTATGTTGAGCCAAAATCTATCTCCCTGTATAATTTGCATTGTTCTACCCTGCAGTATGATGCAGGTGAGGACCTTAGTTTTGTGTCTTACTAGCCACGTAAATTTGGGTAGAGTACTGTAATCCCTCTGAGCTTCAATTTCCTCATCTGTAAAATGAAAATATATGCTCTGACTACCTCAGAGGGATGATATCAGTTCAAGTACTTGGAAATATAAGACATGCTACAGTGATCGTTGTTAAGAATACTGGTAAATTATTAATACATTCCAGAAAACGAGGTACTTATATTTATAATTTGATTATTGGATCAGCGTCTTATATAAGTCCTGTCAGATTGCAGCTTTGCACAAAATAGGCATTCAATAAATATTTGAAGCAATGAAAAAAACCTAGCCCAAGTGTTAACTCAAGAACTAGTGCTCTAGGTTACTGAATAGCTTTAAATACTAACAGTTTTTATGTTTGAAGCCCATGGGCTGACTTGTATTAAATTCAATAACTATGCTTCAATTAGGAAACAGAGAAATTACTTGTTTAGATGACCTCTGGTCTCTTCCAACTCTTGATCTATGTTCCTATAATCCTATGATTGATTCTTTAGTGAAATTACCAACTATTTTATAGAAATTAATTTCAATATTTAATAGTGTTTGTATCACTGAAACATTATAGCAGTAACAATGCTTTGGGGCTTCTAACCTATAACTAAAGGAAACTATCAGATGCTATTTTTCAGAATAATCATAAATTTCAACATGAATATTATTCAGCAAGTCCAATAGATTATTATATTCCAATGTAAAAATCTTCAAAAAATGAAAAATTTTTCAACATTTTAAGGGGCAAGGTAATACTATGGTACTTTTATGTTAGCATTAATTAAGTAGGACTCCCATATTTCAAATTAACATGTTTAAAATATTAATCTGCTTACAGAAAGATTTCTGAAACCAAATTTTAAAGGGAAATTTTTAAGAGCAACTTTCCCAAGATAGGCAACTGAAAGTAGGAGGCCATTCATGCCTGCAGATTGATCATTCTAATTGTCTTGGGGATTATTATGACAGTGTATGTTCTCTCCACTAGTGACTACTTTGGTTTTTATTGAGCTCCATTGGGTCCCTAGCTGCTTTCAGAAGTTAATGGTGTTTGGTTACAGGGCCAATTTGATGTATTTTGACTCTTGGGAAGTCTAGGTGGGTAGCTGGGAATGAAGTAGGAAGTAGAAGCTGAAAATAGACCTTATTTAGAATTGCTTTGCTAATCAGAATACTGCTTGCTCAAGATCACTAAGGAAATAGGAATAGGAAACTTGAATGGGACCTGAAGAAGGGAAGGGATTTTGGAATAGGAAGGCAGGACGGGGTATAGGTAGGGTAGAGGCTTTAAACAGTCAAAGAACAGCATGAGTAAAGCTATCAGACTTGGTTTGGGTTTTCCAGATTTAAGGCAGTCACCCCAAACAAGGCTAGTCCAGTGAAGCCCAGTTTCTTTCCATCTAACCAAATACTTCTCCTTCACTTTGAAGGAAGAAAAGAGGAAGGATCAAAGAGATATTCTAATATATTCCTTCACTTCTTCATTCTTCCTCAATTAACCATCTGACAGGATCTCATTATTTCTGGATCTTTTAAGAAATACTATACTTGAATTGACAACAGACAGCCATAATGAAATATAAATTAACTGGAATGAAAACTGACTTGTCAGCTTAATTGAGTATAATAACTGTATAATAATGTTACAGTGAACACATTCATACTAACAAGTTCTTAATTTTAAAACATTGCACTTAAGATTGTTACTTTCTAAATTCCCGGGTGGACTCAGAAGTTCCAGGGTAGTAGACCTTCTCCAATCTGTATTTCCATGATTCAGTAGAACTTGATCCATCCTTGGGAAATTTAGAGGCAAAGTCTGAAGAGACATGTGCCTCTCCCCAAACTTTGCCTCAGTATTAATTTCTTAATGGGACTTTAATTCATGAAGCAGTTCCTGGAATAAAATGAGGAGTTTGGACCAGATGAATGCTGCAATCCTTTCTATTTCTAAATCTGTGACCCCACATACATAGCAAGAACTTAATAAATTCTTGTTGGATGACTGACTATCAATCAAGGATCTAATGAACATTTATTACTTTTGTGTCTAGCACTTGGTTAGGCCAGATGAAGAATGCATGAGAAATAAAAGGCAGTCATTTTTATTCTTAAGTCCTTTATGATGGATAATCAAGATACGAAATAGAGAAAAACTAAGTGTGGCATAGTATAGACTATTAGTATAATAGAAGTTTGGAAAAAGGTAGGGCTTGCCCTGAACCTTGAAGAATGTGTAGGAATTGACTAGGTAGAAAAGAAGGGTATACTTTCCTGGGAGAAGAAAAGCATGAGCAGAAGCATAAAGGAAAGAATATATCATGGCAAGTTTGGATAATGAGGAAATTGGCCTGAGTAGAACGGTGTATTCATGTTGAAGAATAGTAGCAAATAAACGTGGACAGGTGGGATGGGACCAACTCATCAAGGAGCTTCAGAAATTTAAACAAAGGTGTTTGAATTGGACACAGGCAAGCAAGGGGAAGAAAATGTAGTTCCATTTGCAGGACAGCCTGTATGAAGGAGGGAGTGTGGTAGGAAGATATCAGTTTGGTAGTGGTATGTGAGATATCTCGGAGAGGCTATTAAACAAGTGGTAAGTTGGGTATAAGAAGATGAAGCCTTGACTGGACTGGGGGGTGGGGTGGTAGTAGGAATGAAGAGGGATGGACAGAGAACTTTGGAAGCAAAAAATAGTTATACTATGTACTCACTGGATAGAGATGAAGAAGGATGAGTCAAAGATGACATGTCTGAGAGAATGGTGGTGCCTCTGACAAATAGAAATGGGAAAGGTTGTGAAAGGGAGGAGGGAAAAGGGAATGACATAACCCACAACTATTCATTGAAGAAAACAAAACATTATGTCATAGGATAAAGGGATTTAGAGCTGGAAAGAGATAATCTAGTTCAACTCTCTATTATACTCTATTAAGAAAACTGAGGCCCACAGTAGTTAAATGAGTAGTCCAAGGCCATACCCCCATACCAGAGTTTTTTCCTGCGGGCCTGCTTCTCTGCATTGGCAGGTGGTTTGAGTGGGGCTTTGGGGACACGAGTTATGCAGGATAAGAGATGTATTTGTTGATAACTCCAACCTTTAGGCTAAGAAGAAGCACATGGATTTCATCTCCTGACTCCTGTCTTTACCCAGGCCTTTAAAGCTCAAGGTTGTTTAAAAAAAAACCAACAACATATAAAATTATTTAAGATTATCAATTGACTTCCCTAGCTCCCAGCAATTTTACAACCTGCTTAAAACACACACACACACACACACACACACACACACACACACACACACAATAACAACTAGCAACCAACAAACTTCTTTGAATGATTTATTAATATTTTTTTTTAACATTGTTTTGGCTTTGTTCCTGAGATTCATTAATTCCAGTATTACTGAAGGCAAGCTTCTTTTAATCTTGTTGTTATGTCAAGCTTTGAAAAAGCAGGGAATATGTCATCTTCCACAAACTCAAGTGTTTATTTCTCTTATCCCTCCCTATTCCAGAGAACAACCCATCTTCACCACCAGAGCACATGTCTTCCAAATAGACCCCACCACTAAGAAGAACTGGATGCCTGCAAGCAAGCAGGCAGTCACCGTTTCTTACTTCTATGACAGCACAAGAAACAGCTATCGGATTATCAGTGTGGACGGAGCGAAGGTAGGAGGGGGCACTAGCATGCTCGTGACCTGCCTACCTGTTGATGAAGGCTGATTACACCAGAGCTCCTTCACTCAGAGGAAGGTGGGAGATAGGGCTAAATACAAGTAGAGACCACTAGAGTGACTGATGAATATTCACAAGTACAGTCCCTGACTGCAAAGAGATTTTTACTTACCCCTGTATTAAGTCTTATTTGACCTTCTCCTGATTGGCTACTCAAAGGTACCTAGCAAAAGACCCCAGACCCTTTTGTCTGCTTTAGTGCGATGAAGAACTGTACAGCTACTCATATCTGCTGGTCATTCATAATTTGCCTATTACTTGGAAAGATAAGATTGCCTGCATTGCAGTTAACTGTGTGATTGAGTTAATGTCAAGATCCAGAATGGCAGTGTGTTGGGACACATCTGATTTTTTGTGTTTAAGTGAGTATGTCCACTAAATGGGTTTGTATACTATTAAAATGTGCTATAATTAGATCAACTGTGTGTAACAACTTTATCTTGTTCCTTGAAATCACAAATCTGACACATATGCTTGTATGATGTAATGTTTCTGTAGAAAGTAATTAAAAACCATATGAAACTGAACTCAAGAATTACGTAATCTACGTTTCCAGCCCTGAACCTCATTCTGAGTATCAGTCCTTTTGTCTTCTAGACATTTTCCACTTAGCCTATATCACATCAAACTGTACATATCTAAAACTAAACCTGTCATCTCTAACCTTCCCTCTCACTTTCCCAACAACAAAAAATACCTTTTCCTCTTCCTTGATTTTCCTATTTCTGTGTTTCTAGTCTCTCAGATGAAAACTGGGAGTTGTTATTGAATCCTACTTCTCTCTCACCCAATAATTACTTAGTCACTAAGCTTTTCAAGTCTTCAAAATGTCTTTTATTTTTCCTCTTTTGATTCCTGTTACTACCACCATGGTCTCTAAATCCTTACTATCTCATGCTTGGACTGTTAGAGAAATCTCCTAACTAGATTCCTCCTCTCCATATTCCATTCCATATCCAGGTCATCCATTATATCAGTGTCAGATGAATCTTTCTATAACATTGTTTAACACAATAAAGTCTGAGCAGTCTGAATTGGATGTGGCAGATCCATAACAAGTGTAATTGCTGGCTGTGTTTCCCTCTCCAATTTGAGAATTATTGCAGTAACTTATTTGAAGGTCATCTGGATTAATAATAGATCCCAATTGATTGAGGGAAAAACAAAATATTATTTAAATAAAAAAATTCTAGATCCCAATCTACTATGTAGTGACCTTGTGCCTTAAGACTTAAGTTCTTCAGTTATAGAAAGTTTTCAAGGTTCTGTGTACCTAGCTGCATGTCACTGGACTCCAAAGGATTTGAAAGAATGAGTGAAGCATCTATTAATTGCTTACTGTGTGCAAAGCACCATACTAAGTGCTTTGAGATACAAATAGAAAATCAAGACAGTCCCTGCTCTCAGGAAACTCAATTAAGTTCAAAAGGAGGAAACAACATACATATGGAAGATTTCCATAGATGTAATAGGATTTTTACATAATTTACATAGATGTAAAAGGATTAGCTGTTAATGGAAGAAAATAGGCCATCCTGAGTCACTACCCTTACTCAAAATGGCTTGGTGACACCCCAGGAGGGCTCAAGCTCAACATCACAGAAATGATTTGGGGTTTAACAGCTAACCAACAATCCCAAGAGAAAGTTTAAAATAAAAAAAAGGTAATTTGCCTATCATTGGGCATATCCAGCAAGTTCCTTTCCAACTCTAAATAGAGTTGTCAGATGGAAAGGTCCCATTGTTCTTAGGTTGCAGTAGCAAAGCACCTATTAATGCCTCTTCCTTAATGGTATTTCCACTGATAAAATCATATCAGTTTCTGATGTAGGACTGTTTGATAATGCCAAGGAGTTTGGTGGCAAGAACTTTCTTTTCTGGGTTTTCAGTAGCTCTGACTGTTAACAGTTGCGAGAGCAGTTGCCAGGCTGCATCTAGACAGAGATTGCCTCTCAGGATATCAGAGGACTCTGGGCTAGAAGCATTGCTATTCCAAAGGCTTTGGGTTCAGTTCTGGGCTGTCTCCATTGGTATCTGAGGGGAAATCATGGTCATGGTGGTGGTGATTGTCTGACCTGCCTGGCACATGCTGCTTCAGCTAGGCTGGCTTGCTGGCCTGGTGTTTGGCATTTTGTTGGCAATTGGTGGAGATGAGTGGCTCCTTCTCCTCTGGAGTTACTTCTTCAGATGGTGACTTTGGGGAATGGTCTGGAAGCAAGACTGGTGGTTTGGGAGGTGCTGCCACAACCAGGGCTCCTATGCTTGTTTGAATGTTGGTGGCATTTGGTCAGCAGTTGTCACTGATGGTGATGAAGAATGTATATCCCTTTTTACAGTGACTTATCCCCTCAATAATTGCTGTGGGAGCTGAACTAGAAACAGGTCTGGTGGTTTGGGGAATATTGCTATCTCTAGGGCTCTTGGGCTCAAAGTCCTGGCCTATTTCCATTTAGGTCTAAGGGGAAATGGTGGTTAAAGTAGTGATGGTAGTGGTGATTTGATTTGCCTGGTACATGCTGCCTCCTGTCTCTCCCTCAGGGGACCTTTCTGCTTCCGGTTAGCTGACTTGGCTCCTCAGCTGTTGCTCCCTCTGATGATGGCTTTGAGGACTGATCTAGAAGCCAGACCAGTGGTCTGGGAGATACTGCCACTCCCAGGGCTACCTGATTGTTGGTGGCCATTTGTTACTGATGGTGATGAGGAGTGTGAACCCCCTTTTCACAATGATTTCCCCCCTCAACAAGAGCTGTAGAGTTTTGACTGGAAACAGATCTGGTGATTTGGGGGACACTGTTATTCCCAAGAAAGACATGTAAGATGAGGCTTGTACCCTCAAAGTACTTGTAGACTATAATCCATTTTTCTTCTGTGATTCTTTATAACATTCTTCCTTACATTTTTTGAATTATGGAATCACATAGATAAAGAGAGAATCTGGCCCAACTTTCTCACTTGAAAAATGAGGAAACCGAAGCCCGTAATGGAGAGATGACTTGCCCAAGGCTAGATAGCTAAATAGCGACAGCACTAAATGAAAACTCAGCTCTCCTTACTCTTAGTCTGATTTATTTCCCCTGTGCCATGCTGTATCTTAGATATGTATAGAAATATTTCTTGATATTAGATCTAATAGGCTGTGATGACATCATGTGGATTTAAACTTTCATAAGTATTTAGAGTTGGAAAGGAACTTGCTGGATATGCCCAATGATAGGCAAATTACCTTTTTTTTATTTTAAACTTTCTCTTGGGATTGTTGGTTAGCTGTTAAACCCCAAATCATTTCTGTGATGTTGAGCTTGAGCCCTCCTGGGGTGTCACCAAGCCATTTTGAGTAAGGGTAGTGACTCAGGATGGCCTATTTTCTTCCATTAACAGCTAATCCTTTTAGTTCATCTACTACCCCTGAAATGAGTTTGTACTTGTAATTTGGAGTGTTGTGCTCTCAAGGGATATATTGGACTTAATTATAGATAAAAACTACTTTCCCAGAGAAAGTACTTCAGCCTTGTTAGCTGAGCTATTATAGCTTCTTGTTGTTGTTTGTCCTTCATTCTCGAAGAGGACCATGATTTCAGGGAGGTGATGCCATGACTTGTAAGTGAATTGAATTTAAGTTAGAGTGGACTATGCAAAGTCACTGGCCTCACTTTCTCTTCCACAGCCATCTGAGTCCAGTGGTGAGATATAGATCAGGACAACCGGATGTGGCCCAGATGCCTTGGTGAAGTGTTAGTGACAGTATGACTATCGATAAGGGCCTACCTTATACAAAAGAGGGCAGTGAACAGGGTAGAAATTAGCCCACATCAGAGATAAGGAAAATCATTTTGAAGTTCTGCTAGTTAACTTGTTAGATACCAGTAGAAAGGTCATATACATCTCTAGGTCCAGCACAAGGCTGAAGGGTAGCACTATTTGTATCTTAGTTCATTGGAATAAAATTTGCGGAGTGTAGACCTGAAATCTGGACATTAAGGAGTCAAAGGAATAGTGATAAGGAGATGTAGGATTGAATCCTATACCTACAAAAATGTACTAGGGTGTTCAGTGGAAGGGTCCTACTGTAATGAAATTGTATTTTCAATGAAAAAGAATGCTTAATAATAAGAAAAATGCAAGTCAAAACAACTCATGCCCATCAGATTGGCAAAGATGACAGTAAAGGAAAATGACAACTCTTGGAAGGACTGAGAGGACAGGTATATTAATGCATTGTTGGTGGGGCATTGAATTTGTCTAACCATCATGGAAAGCAATTTGGAATTATGCTAAGAAAACACAAAATATTCTTACTCTTTAACCCATATTTCCCATTCTTATACATATACCCTAAGAACAACAGGCAGGAAGAAATGTCCCAAATACACTGAATTTTCATAAAGACACTTTTTGTGATAGTCAAGAACTGGAAATAAAGTAGTTGCCCATTGATTGGGAAATGGCTAAACAAACTGAGGTACATGAATGTAATGGTATAGTACTATGCACTAAGAAATGATAAAAAAAAATTTGGAAAAAATGGAGAAAATAACATAAATTGATGCAGTGTGAAGTAAGCAGAACAAGGAAAGTTATATATGCAAACTGATTACAACAATATTATGGGAAGGAATAAAAAAATGGAACTGATCACTTTGTAATTATAATAATCAGGCTTTGGTTCTGAAGATGAGATGAGAGAATGTACTTCCCTTCATTCCTTGTAGAAATGGCTTTGAGGACTACAGGCACTAAACATTGCATTTAATATCAAATTTAGTTGATGTATCTGTTAATTTGTCCAAACTACTTTTTTTCTGTTTCTTTTAAAAAATTCTTTATTATAAATAATGTCTTTATGGGAAGAGAAGGAAGAATATCTGTAGAAATAAAGGTGATGTAAAAACAAAGAATATAAACAAATCTTAAAAATAAATGTTATTTGTAATGTT